CATGGTTAAGTAGAAAGGAGATGAAAAAGGTATACTCTCTGTAGATTCAGAGGCTAGAAACTAGAGCTACCAGGCAACAGAGGGGCAGCCTTTGGAGGTAGTTGGAGACAGGGAATGAACACTGATTTGGCACCTCCATTATACCATGCATTTTATACAGGACCTATAAATTAGGTATTCTCATCGCCACAATGAACATAAGGAAATAGCGGCACAGGGAGGAAAAGTGAGTTGATCAATGTCACATGGAGGTAACTGGCACAGCTGGGCTCAAACTAGGGCAGCTAGCTCCCAAGCATGTCCCTTTGGTTCATTCAGTTCAACAAGCATTATTTTTAATGTCTGCTTTTGGACAGAAATGGTGGTCCTCCCTAATTTACCCGACAAAGACTATTTATTCCTAAATGGGATTAGAACCACAGCACAGGGGTTCGGACTTATAATACATTTTTCTTTCCATTTCTCCTTCAACTTTATTATCCATTAGTCCTCCATTGGGAGATGTTTGCCTACAGCAATTTTGGGACGGAGTTTTGTGTTTATTTTTTAATTTAATTTTTTTAAAAATCATTTTATTGGGGGCTCGTATAACTCTTATCACAATCCCACATACCTCCATTGTGTCAAGCACATTTGTTTGTTGCCATCATCATTCTCAAAACATTTTCTTTCTACTTGAACCCTTGGTATCAGCTCATTTTTCCCCTTCTTTCTTTTCTACTTGAGTCCTTAGTATCAGCTCATCATTTCCCCCTCCCTCCCAAACCCTTGATAATTTATAAGTTATTATTACTTTTTCATGTCTTACACTGTCAGATGTCTTCCTTCACCCACTTTTCTGTTGTCCGTCCCCCAGGGACGGGATTATATGTGGATCGCTGATGATTGGTTTCCCCTTTCTCCTCCCACCTTCCCCTTACCTTCCTGGTATTGCTAATCTCATTATTGGTCCTGAGGGGTTTATCTGTCCTAGATTCCCTATGTTTCCAGTGTACATGCTCTGGTCTAGCCGGATTTGTAAGATAATATTAGGAACATGATAATGGGGGGTTGGAAGCATTAAAGAACTAGGGGAAAGTTTTATGTTTCACCTGTGCTATACTGCACTCTGACTGGCTTATCTCCTCCCTGTGACCCTTCTGTAATGGGATGTCCAGTTGCCTACAGATGGGCTTTGGTTCTCCACTTCACACTCCCCCTCATTCACAATGATATGATTTTTTTGTTCTTTAGATGCGTGATACCTGATCCCATTGACACCTTGTGATCACACAGGCTGGTGTGCTTCTCCCATGTGGGCTTTGTTGCTTTTCAGCTAAATGGTTGCTTGTTTACACCATCAGCTTTCTTCACCACATTTGCTTATGTACCTGCTTTGTCTTCAGTGATCTTGTTGGGTAGGTGAGCATCATGGAGTGACAGTTTAATAGAACAAAGTGTTCTTGTATTGCTATTTTTTTCTAATTGTAATATTTCACTTGCGACAAAGTATTTTAAAATGAATAAAAGTCATCCTACAATAAATAACATCTGAGATTTGTATTTAATACTAGCCATTAAAAGTCCTCATCAATATAAAATAAAATACTTTATTCCTACTCTCCTTTTACAACATATATTCAGGTCTAAATGCAAATCATAAGCTAAAATGCAAAATATAACGACAGATGAAAAACAAACTTCAAGGGTATATTACAAGCCTTCAGTCCATCCACAAGTGTACTCTTAAAGGGACCCATGTTGTTGGCACACTTAGAAGGCCAAGATATTGACTGTCTCTATGTTAATTACCTGACAAAGAAGTTAGTCAAGTAATTAATTCAAGTATTTGTGATATTATAGAAATTCCCTAAACCATGAACTTTATGAATGTGGTATTAGCTTCCCAAGCCTTGGGTCAACCAAATGATCTAAATTTGTGGTTCTAAAAGTATGGTCTCCAGACCACCAGTGTGTACACCTCCTGGGAACTTTTTATCCCCAATGCCATCGAGTTAAGTAGACTCATAGCAACAGTGTAGAACGCCCCTGTGGGTTTCTGAGACCGTAACTCTTTACAGGAGCAAGACGATAAGGGATAGAAAGTCTCATCCATCTCCCATGGAGTGGCTGGTGGTTTCAAATTGTTGACCTTGCTCCGTCCCAGACTTACCAAATCAGACTTTCTGGAGTGAGGGCCCCAGATTCAACTTTAAGTTTTCCTGGTGAATCGGATACTCTATTTGGAGTGATCAAAATGATTCTCCTTTGTGGCCTCAGTTCATTCCTAACCGACAACCTCCTGTTTTATTACCAACTCCTGCTGCTCATCCTGCATCCTCCCACTGGATGCAAGCACTTCATGTGCAACTGAGGATGCTCATTAATCACGACTGCCTGGATTCATATACAAAACCATCTAGGATTCCCCGCCTTGTCTTCCTCTCTTATTGCCCTTCACTGCCTCTTTCATGGACAGTAGAAATACATAGCTTACAAAGGATATCCAGTTAAATGGACAATCAACACAGGGTGACTGGTCAAGGTCTTCTCTGTCAACTGCCTGCCCCCGTGTGTCCTGTTGCCCATGCCACGTCCTTCCTGCCAACTTGCCACGTGAACCTGCCCCTCATGGCTGCTGAGGGTGTGCTGTGCTTGATACAGGATGGTTGTAGTGGAGTGAAAATTTTTAATATGGCTCTTCTACCCATATCTATGTAACTCCCACCAAATGATTGGGTGGGACCATGCAAAAAAAAAAAAAAAAAGCTATGTATAACACTAATACAGAGGACTGGTCAGTTTTATATACCACCTGCCCTGGTGATAGGCCAAACAATCTTTGACATAGGAGCAGAGAGAAAGGCCCGGGCCACCAGACCAGCAAGTTCCAGATTTCTGTCTGAAGTGGTGGAGGGTGAAACCAGAGGCACCAGAGATGATGACACAGAGACTGTGGGGCAGGGCAAGAGTAGCGCTGAAACTATGAGACTGTGAGACAGTGGGACAGGCAGACTTCCTGGTCCATGGGGCAAAGGCCATGGGGCCATGTAACTGAGAGACTGAGGACCAGAGAGAGACTTGGTTGCTGGCTATGGAAAAGTATTGCTGTGGACTTTTGCTAGTTTATTACATCCCCTAACAAACCCGCTAAATAATGAATATTGTCTGTGAGTTCTGTATGGCCATGGAAACAAAATATGGAACCCAGCTAGATGTGGAGTAGGTTAGTGTCAAGAAGGATGGAGCGCGGGGGCCTGTCTGACCCTGCCTCGTGGCAACAGGGGAAGCAGAGGGGTCAGAAAAAGCTGCCATGCCATTGACTGCCCCGGTGGACTCTAACAGATATGTATCTTCAGTCCACTGTGCAGTGACTGCTCTCTCCTTGGAAGGCCTGAGATTGGGAGGGTGAAAGGCAACTCCTCCAGGGTCCCATATGGTTAGCAATCATGGCAAAACACCAGCACATGAAGATATGCGTGAAATGCAGAATGGGAGGGCAGCTTGTTACTGTTGGTCTCCTTTCATTTTTATTTGTATCATGGGGAAACAAGGCAGGGGACCCTGAAACTGTGTCATCTTTCTAGTAGTACTAAACACTACCTTCTACGTGGCTGACTCCTGTCTCTGTCTCCAGAAGCCATGGTGTTGTATTTGGGAGATTTCAAAGGTAATGAGATAGATGAAGCAGAAACCTTATTGTCAGTATTCACTTAGCTCATTATGGAAAGGGGAAGAAGTAAATTACTGCCTACATTTCAATATGTTTTGGACACCACACTTGGTAAAGTGAAGGGACAGCAATAAAGAGGAAGGCCCTCAGTGAGATGGACGGACACAGGGGCTGCATCAGTGGGCTCAGGCACGGGAATAATTGTGAGGGTGGCACAGGACCGGGTAGTGTTTCATTCTGTTGCACATTGGGTCGCTCTGGGTCAGAACTGACTCCACAGCACCTCACAACAACAATATTACTTGGAAGAGGAAGAGGAATTGATTACGTATCTTATAATTCACAAATTTGAATAATTTTTTCCATTATTTTTCTAGTACTAAAATGTTCAAGTTGTGTGATGGATAAACCACTTAGTGGTAGACGCTGTACCTGTTCATTTATCAATCACTGATGCAGGAATCTGAGGACACTGTAACTCATCAAGAACGCTCAGATAAAAAAACGGAGTTAATGAACGAATAATAGGCTTCCAAAGAAGCTCTTAAAGGGGCTTAGTGGATGCATCAAGGCGCTCTGGTGGTGGGCTGCCAAGCACAAAGTCAGCGGTTAGAAAGCACCTGCTGCAAGGCAGAGCTTTCTATTCCCAGAGACAGTGGCCGTCGGGAAGACTCACAGGGGCAGTTCCACCCTGTCTGCAGGGTCGCTGTGAGTCAGCCTCGGCTTGAGGGCAGTGAGTTGGTTTTTTGTTGGAGGACATGAATCTGCTTTGGGATATTTCTGCTCCCATATCACTCTTCCATTACGGACTTACTCAGCCAGTCTGGAAGCTATATAGCACGTGATGCTGCCAGAGAAGAGTTGAAGAGCTAGCCTGTGTCTGCTGGAGGTCTAGGGCTGTAGCAGACTGCTCTAATTCCCGGCAGCTATAATTTGCTACCTCACCAGACTAAACGCTGCAAAACACTCCTCTAGAGCCTCATCCCCCAGCTAGAAGACTCCTGAACCAACACCACTGCCATTTTGAATTAGTGGAGGCTGGAGCACTACAGCCAACCAAGACTCTCTATATCGTAGTAAAACAGGTCACAGGAAAACAAGTGCTAATGTCACCATATTGTAAAAATACCTTTGCAGGAACAGCAACAGTAAGAGAAATAAGAGACAGGCAAACTCCGCTCAGAACAAGCTGTCATTTCACAGAGAATGCACAAAAACTGCTAGTATCAGTGAGATGTATTATTTGCTTCAGACAGTTCTCTGCTTATAGCAGATATTTTATTCCTCTCTCCACTAAGAGCTTTCTCTCACACACTTATCTGCCATAGGAATCTGTCTGTCCGTTTACCTCCTTCAGGTCCTGCATGACCGCTGTGAGCCTCTCATTTTCTGTCTGGATGTTCGTGACCACTGCCCGGCTCTGCTTCAGCTCACTCTGCATCTCCAAGATCTTCCCCAGATAATAAGCTTCCTTCGACGCCGACTCCTGCAGCAGTGTTTCCTCCCGAGTCTCTCCATCCTCAGCAACTTTACGGCGGATGGAGAAAGACTGCCCAAATGCCTGCAGAAGGGTTGAAAGGGAAAACACCGTCAACGAAGTGAACAGAGCACTATCAAACTGATAGGGTGATTTTACCATAACAGATGAGCAGCTCCAATTGATGCCTGAAGTAATTAAAACTCAAACAATAAAGAGAAAGAAACTTGTCCATATCGTACTAAAGCAAATGAGCTAAATAAAATGTATAACGTATTGCTGCTGGCTTTTTGCCATCCTTGTCAAGACAACCCAGTCCAAACCCAACCCGCTGCCACCAAGCCAACTCCAACGCTTAGCAACCCTATATAGGATTTCCAAGCTTGTGAATCTTTACAAGAGTAGATAGATTCATTGATAGGCCGACAAAGACACTGGCAGGTTCAAACTACCAACCTTGCAGTTATACAGTTATATACAGTTATATAAGATCAATTAAGATATAAGATAGTTCAGCAGTGATGAACCCACCAAAAAACATGCTGTCATCTTCATTCTAAAACAAAACCAAAATTATTTTCTAATTAAAAAAAAAGTGTCTTCAGTCTACTACGTTAACAGTAAGAATAGACTCATTATGACTCATATTGTACCCTTACAGAATTTTTTTTCTTTCTTTCTTTTTTTTAATCATTTTATTAGGAGCTCATACAACTCTTATCACATTCCACACATACATCAATTATGTAAAGCGTATTTGTACATTCATTGCCTCATCATTCTCAAAACATTTCCTCTCCGCTTAAGCCCCTGGCATCAGCTCCTCATTTTTCCCCTCCCTCCCTGCTGACCCTCCCTCATGAGCCCTTGATAATTTATAAATTGGTATTTTGTCATATCTTGCCCTGTCCGACATCTCCCTTCACCCACTTTTCTGTTGTCCGTCCCCCAGGGAGGAGGTCACATATAGTTCCTTGTAATCGGTTCCCTCTTTCCAACCCACTCTCCCTCTACCCTCCCTGTATCGCCACTCACACCACTGGTCCTGTAGGGTTCATCCGCCCTGGATTCCCTGTATTTCCAGTTCCTATCTGTACCAGTGTACATCCTCTGGTCTAGCCAGACTTGCAAGGTAGAATTCGAGTCATGATAGTGGGAGCGGGGAGGAAACCTTTAGGAACTAGAGGAAGGTTGTATTTTTCATCGTTGCTACATCGCACCCTGAATTTTTTTTAAGAGCACTTAAATTCCCTGGGCCTATAAAAAGACATTTAAATGTATCTCCGTTGAAGAAAACATATATTTATTTGCTCATTTATACAAAAAGAAATATAAGAAGACTAAATTGGCCACCTACACGAGGCAGGCAGGAAGAGGGAGGAATGGGGGTGGAAATGGGATTGAGACGTGAAGGAGTGGCATGGCTCTGAAGATTTATGTTGTTCACATAGGTCGCTTTGGCTCTTAGAACCGTAGCAATATTTCAAATGCCACCCCACAAGTAATAGTTAAAATCAATGTGTGTGTGACTCAAAAGAAAACACAATTAACAACATAATCTGTGTTACAAAATGAACTCAAGAGCTGCACTGAGAAGGGTGATAAACGAGCCAATCTAAGTAATCCTATAAGACAGCATTTCTACTTCATACTATGAGGCTAAAGGAACCCTAGTAGCATAGAGGTTACTTGTTGGGCCACTAACTATACGGTGAGCAGTTTGAAACCACCAATGCCACTGGATTTTACACGTAGAAACTGTTGACTGGTGTGTGTTCTACTGTGTATACATGGGCAACGGCTACAAAAAATATTTTGTAAAAAAACAGAATTAAAATTGTAACTGTAGAATTTTAATGAATCCTAATTCATAATTATTGCAGCTCAGAGACTAACTGAACACAAGGGGTTCCAAAATCAGTTATT